ACGAACGTTTCGAGAATAAGTGACCTGGGTACTTAATTTCAAATACTCTATTTCATTTTGGATGTATTACCTAGGAATACATTGTTATTTGTGTTTCAGGGATGCAAGGGACTCAAATCCATTAGTTGAAGGGGTATTAATTTCAAAGGACAAAATTGGGTAAAAGCAAAAAATTGAATACAGTACTCTCCCACAAGTGAAACATATTGCTTTTTCTTTCCAGCATGGTTTATTTTATTTATTTATTTATGTATTTATTTATTATTTTTTTAATTTCCATTTTTTAGCCCCACATGGTTTATTTTATTGACTAGGATGTTTTTGGTGACCCACAGAAATTAATGTAACCAAGTACCAAATAGAATTCAATCCTAAGCATAAGTCCTGATTGACCGTAGCAGCTTAAGTCAGTTTTTGGTTGCTTTGTGAGAGACTGCATTCTATTGATTGTTTAGTGTGTTGGGTGGTGGTAGAATTGCACAGTAAGCAGGTTATGTCGACCACCAACACATCTGTTGGTTGAGTCTGTGCCAGCTTGAGCATGGCTATAACTGCATAAACAAGACTAGCGACAGTTTCATGTCTGTGTAATACATGAGTATGTTACAATAAGATATTGCTGTTGCTTGTACGCACCTATGTGCAATAATGTGGTGTCTCCGAGGTCTGAATTTAGGGAACTCGGTTGATGACTTTATCTTTGGGGTTTCATACAAGCACTCTTGATTTGAGTGATTAATTTCAACCGTATGTGAGGATATAGATTTTGCTTTTGCTTTTTCACAGTTTTGTCGATATTGTTTTGTTACTTATATACATATGTTCTTATTAATCATAAACATATTCAGGGATTTTTTTAATTCACACATTTTTTAATCATTTGTATTTCAGTGTTTTTTTGTAATAGATTCCCATTGTCTTAGACAGCATGACACATGGATAAACTGGTAAAGTGTATAATGGTGCATGAATATATAATAAAATATAATAAATTTTGAGTTCCTGTTTAAAATGAAAGAGCAGAATCCCTTCTCAAATGGTATGAGCTAATCTCAACCACAACACCCTGTTCCATAGAGCAATCGTTGCATTACGCCTGTCGTAAGTACTTGTTGAAGTGCCGGAGTTACGATCACCTGAGTGCTAAGATCACTTAGTGGAATTGGGCCTGGGACCCTTATTTTGAACACATGGTGTATAAAAAGGCTGAAAAGGCTACTAGTACTAACCTACATTAGCTAATTTGGAGTTTTTGTCACCTGGTACCAATTTGGACCTAGACACAATGACGGTAATATTGATGTGCTTGTAGGGAGTACAGTGGGAGTGGGATGAGTGTATGTTACAGCATTAGCAGATGATTAGCTCACTGATAGATGAACTCCTGCATTAAATATTGTAACAGAAGATGTGGATGTGGCAGATCTGGCAACAGTTGGGAGAAGATACTTGAACTGCAGCCAACCTGCATGCTGTCTGAGCAATCCCACTGTACCATGCTGCTGTTAATCTTCCTGACATTTCTTCCTACTAATGTCCTGTAATGTCGATCACAGCTAAACTAGGAGTGAGACTGGTCTCTGTGTTAGCCTGACATTTGTTCGAGATGACAAATAGGCCCATGGGTTGAATTTTATGAACACGTGGAACACGGGTTCAACAATATTTCCACATAATTCCCACTTGTGACAAAGATAATGAAAATGAACTGTTTTGTGATTGCTTCATGTTGGATTGAGGTTCGTGAATTGTAAAGTGTGGGTGTGTAGGTATTCTATGAGTTTGTTTGTGTACTCAGGTTAAATCACACTTGTCAACTGTGGGAGGAAAGAATGAAGTGACGCACATCAGATGTGTGGCACTTGGGTGAAGTCAGCAAACATATGGAGCCGAATTCTGACTTAAAGTAACCATCATCTGTTCTGATCTGATGCAGCAACAACCTATTATGTCAAATATTTATCTGTAACATTGGAAATTTAGGAAAGACGACTCGATTCTTTCATATTACTATGGTTGTCTGTTGCGACAATAATAGATAAACTTTGGTAATAGGAAATATTGTGGTACTGGTAGTCCTTAACGTTTTTGAGTACTATATATTAGAGTATTGTTGATTTTGCCTGAATTAACAAACAGTTGGTCTATTTGTAATCTCCACATCAACATGTATATTTTCCTGATGGCAATCAATCTTAACATTTTTAGGTGATTTCCAATGTCCCGGTGCATTCCACTTAGTGGTAGCAGCATGTAGTTTCACACACAGGATATGTGTGGTTTGTGACCGAGCAGGAACAGTAGGGATTATAGTAGAAGGTTTTCACCAGTGTTCCTTGTGACAGGATTGTAGGATTTTCTTCCTCATTTCAAGCTGTCAACAATAATGACTCCATTGTATGAGCAAACACAAAAACATCGGAAGATGAAACCCCATTTTTCAGAAAATATATGAGTCATTGTAAATAACCTGCTTCAGACATGCTCTGCCTCGAGATGTATATGGAACACTTCAGTGTTTTTTTAACAACTGCTGCACATCGTGTCTAGCTTTAGGAGTGGTGCATCTCCCTCAGGGAAATACAGCCCAGTATTTATTTTGTTTAAAGTTGTTGAACGCCAGGGTGAGGTGGAATGGTGCTGAGGATTGTGTACCTGTGCAGAGTTTGAAATGTGAGAGTTTATCAAGTTTTGGTGCATCTGTTAAGGCTAGCTGCTGGCTGTTGTTCAAGACAGCTTGTGCTGGATTCTCACTTGCCTTCTTGTTCCCTTGCCAAAAATGCCAGGCTGCCAGCCATGCTATATGATATGGCAGGGAGGGGAAGAATCTGTCCCTGTTGCTCAATGGTTGCCATGGTAAACAGCAAAGCAGTGGGGTGCCCTCAGCCCTTTACCTCCTACAGAACTGTAGCTCCTCTGCACTGTAGATCATCCTAACCTGTAATTTTAGTGGCACAGCAAATATTTTGACCTGCACTTCGTGTATTGACCAACCACGATGGCTGGTTCTGTTCTGAAGACTTTACCAGCCTCTGATTGCTTCTAGATTCTTCTGCCTATGTTTCCTGAAACCAGGATTAGATCTACAGTGATGTCTGCTTCTGGTAGCCTTTGACCTTTTCGAGATACATGTGCTTCATTCCTCCATGTTGTGACCCAGAGAGTTCATCCATGTGAAATACATCTATCATTCTGTGATAAGGAACCAAGTCAACTTACTCAAGATGGAAGGCTGAAAAAAAGATATCCTTGAATCTGAAAATTTTCGTTAATGTGCAGGGGAGAGTGTGGTAATGTTGTGGTACAGGTGTTGTGTTATTGTGGTCGTGGAATGTCCAGTGGCTTCGTCTGAGGTCTAACACATGTTCAAAGGGCAGTGATAGATGGCTTGGACATCTTCTATAGAACACTCAACATCAGCTGCCCGTGGTGCCTGTCTGCAAGAACTGGGGATGAATTAAGCTACTGACTCTCATTATTTTATATCCAGATGCCATGCACAAGCCTCAGGGGATTGAATACTGCCTCCATCTTGTGCCATAGTTTTTTGCGTGGAAATAACAAGAGAATTTCCTGAGGGAATTTCCACTTCTCTGATCCTAACTAAATCTCAGACCAGCATCCCCACCTGAGCTCATCAGTAGAAAAGGCTGTTGAAAAAAACGAGACTGCTGAGATTTTGAAGAATGCACTGACATTTTATTTCACATAATCCTAGCATATAAAAAATGATAGCGGTTTAAAGAAATTGCTTCTTTCATCTTCTTGTACATTGGATTTCTGAGGTTTTGATTTTTTGCCAGGGGTACATGTTTGCATTCGCGTCTTGAATATTTAACAATCGCAGACTTGTATGGGCATTTTGATCAATCTTTTTGTTTTGCGTGAAATTGACCCCAGGTTAGATTGAGGAAAAAAATCAATACCCATGTGAAGAAATCAAGTCTGAAGTGCCTGTTTTGTGGTGCAAAGATGTAATCAAGATTCCTGTCTGATTCCTGTCTGATTCCTGATAGAATTATTCTGGTGACTGACAAATGTTGAAGTCTTCAGATTAGCTTGACCAGACACCAAGACCAATTCTGACATCAGTCCTTCCCCAATTTGATCCAATCTTGAGGAGATAATTAACCCAGTTGATGAGGGAAAATAGGTCATGTATTTACATCTGACTCCACAGACTCTCACCAATCAGATAATTGAAAACTGGAAAGACTTGTCACCTGTGACTAAGCTTAGACCATCCTAAAAGCCACCAACAACAAAGGCTGTTTTCTTCAAGGCAATAAAGGACAGTCGACCTCTCTCAACGAGTCGGGTACATTGTCATCTACTCAGTCGGAAACATTGGAAGTAGAATAAGTTTGAATGTGACCCCTTGGTTGTTCTCCCGGCACTGACCTGGGACAAAAGGAAGATGAAATACAACAGATTCTCCACAAAAGGTTCATCATAGTGCGTTGCATACCCTGTGTCAACTTGTCGCAATAAACTTCCAAAAACTACCCACACCTATTCAGAAGGTAGAAATGGTGTATTTGAAGATTGTCATCATATGATATGAGGCATTGATACAGGGATCTTGCATAGTCAGTGAATAGTTCTTGTACAGAAGAGTGCATGTGTAAGAGAAGTCATGAAAGACTGACGATAGATCTTGAAGAACGGTATATTTTATTATGTAATGTACTAATTGAATGTTTAAAGTACAATTCTAGCCACTTACACACCTGTACCACATCAGTGAACTGTATAGAACTGAAACTCAACAACACACAATAAATATTGTCGATCTTCAGAGATCGGTAAACATTCTCCTGTCATGGCCATGATGAGACAATATTTTGAATATAGAGGACAGCGAAGATGAACACTTGGGATTGATGTTGCTTTGTGCTTCTAATTATCAGTTACATCATCTGCATCAACATGATAGTTTTGAGAGACACCTTCTTGATGATTGAGGTTTTCATGGCCCCTTATCTTTATGCTATTTGCAGATTGGTGTTTGGAACACTTTACCCAGCGTATGCTTCATACAAAGCAGTGAGGACCAAAAATGTGAAAGAATATGTAAGTATTTGAGTGTTTAGCATTGTTCTTTATTCACAAACTGCTGCTGGGGAGCCAGTATTGTGTGTCATGTCTTATTTAGCTTAACTGGCTCAAAGGGTCATTAAGCTTATTAAAAATTGTGTACAGAAATGGCAAATGTTTTGTGATGAATACACAATGACATTTAGAAAGCGGTTAAATTTAACATATTATATTTGGGATTACACTTTCTTAGTAAAGTACAGATTCTAGTACTTCTGTTGGGTTGAGTCCCATCTGGGATTTGAACCCACGCCCTTAGAGTCAGACACCTAATTACAAGCACACAATGTCAGCTGGCTAACCTGCTCAGTCTTGTGGAAGTCGCGGTGGTTGAGAAGGTTAGGCGGCAGACTTTGTGTGCTGGCAATTAGGTGTCTGACTCTGACTTTGAGGGTGTGGGTTCGAATCCCGGATGAGACTCAACCCAACAAAAGTACTAGAATCTGTACTTTACTAAGAAAGTGTAATCCCAAATATAACATATGTTAAATGTTTTACATTGAGAGATTCATCAGAACTTCAGTATGGATTGAGATTAAACCTTGTCAGTGTGCTCCTAAAACAAAATAGAGTTTAAGTTTGTTCCAAGCTTCAAAGTCAGAAAATCAGTATGGCTGCCAGACAGACATCTTTGATTTTCTTAGTCATCTTCAAGAGAACTAAAGGTTCAGAGGAGTGGTGACTTTGGGGCTAAATGACAGTGACATGTACTTTTCTTACTTATAGGTGATTTTGATAGTATAACAATTGTGAGGTCTATCTTTTAGATATCATCAAACTGTTATATTGCCGTTAATTCTGCTGTGTGTTCAAAAAGAATGTATTTATTAGAAGGTTGTTAGTGAACAAACGAACTACTTTTATGTGAGACTATTTTTATCTTGCCTTGACATTGCTATTTTAGTCACTGTCAGTGTTATTTAACACACTAGAAACTGAAGTGGCACTTCCTGCTGGTGTCGTCTAGTTAGTCTGATATTACTGTTTCATTTACTTGTGTCAGCTATAATTTACAGTGTACAGATGACTGTTGATGTCACTTAGTTGTAAACAATGGGAAATAGCCAATCTAGAAGTAGTAGCTGAATGTGGATAGTCCTTCAGTGGTGAGACCAGGAACTTCTGCACAAAGCAACCTAATACGTAGACTACTGTAACCAGAGACTAACACTTAGTCTCTGGATATATATCATTTTGATAGTAACATTTAAGCTTGTGGTGGTCCGATTAATTGAAATAATCGAAGATTGGTCGCAATCACTAAACCACCAAGCAATCGATCATGTTTCTCATAATCGAACACAAACAATTCTGGATCACTTGTTTGCATTGAATTTTTTTTTCACAAGGTTGCTTTTGTCTGTGTCGTTTGCATTTCATCAGCACTATGAGCTTGTTCAAGTCAAGATTGAATTTATCTTAAAGACTCAAATAAATTTATGTTCCTAGCATACTAGTTATCCTTTAAAGATGTGCAATTTGCCAAAACCCCAAAGAACTACATGTTTTTTCTTTTTTTTTTGGTGGATTAACAAAAATAACCAGAAAAGGTCATAAATGATGCTAACCAATTATTATCGATGACTGATCGGTTGTAATGAACCAATCATCAATTATGAGATTTTAACCAATTCCATTTAAATTGAAAAGGAGCCCCAGTCAGATGTTAAATTCAGAACCTGAGGGTATCTAGACTTGTTTCTTATAGGGTAGACTAACGCTTAGTTTCTGAATATATGCAATTTTGATAGTAACAAGCAAATCCATTTAAATTGAAAAGGCGCCCAAGGGAGACCAGAGTTTCTAGACTGAGGAAATCTAGACTTGCTTCATTTAGGGCTTTAGCATTGCAGAGAGGCCTAGGCAGTAGGGGAAATAATGTAGGTTCAGGGACTGTGAGACAGACTACTGTAAAAATCTGGTAGATAGTAATTTGTTTTAGCCATGAATCTTTGGCTAAAGCTTCAAAATTGAAATAATCTTACCAGAATTTTGAAATGTTTATTATCAGTAGGCATAGAAATTAGGTTGGAAAATTATATATGCAGCATTAGGCAATGTTTCAATTAGGTCACTACAGGATGGTGCTATAATCCTTGTCAATGCCAGAAGAGCCTTTGCTTGCCCCCAGGGAGGGCTCACAAATCCTTCATTAAGCCAGTGTTTGTAATCTGGTATTGAATCTTGCACTAGTTTAGATTTATTTATGTAACACATTGATCCCTGAATCACAGTGGCATATTAGAAATACTTCTGTGGCAATGAGACAGTTATTGGATTGTGCTTTGTTATTAAATAATGTTAAACAGTATGCATTGCCATATCTTGCAGTGAGATATTAAATATTGTATGATGATATATTTAAAAAATGTTATAGTGGGTTTTTATTCAGGTGGCTTTTTGACACTATCCCAGATGTTGCTGAATATTAGGCTACAGTATTGTTCATTATTTTGCAAATACCTGAACAGCTGATATAGATATGTGAAACGATGTGCATTGAACTGTCATGTTTTCAACTCCAATTAAGATGTACTTTTGAAGGATGAGTTAGTTTGGATGGTCATATTTGCTGTTTATTTATTTACTAAAACACTCAAGTGAGTAGATACAGGTATATTGATTATAACTATGAGATGAGTGCATGATGTTACTGTGATAGCATTACTATACATTCAATCTTGCTGTTGACACCAATTGAAAATATTCCAGATTATTGTGATGGAATTGTATCATTTGTGCATCTTTTCATTTTGTTCAGGGGGAGGTAGGGTAACCTTGTGGTTAAAGCGCTTGCTTGTCATGCAAAAGTCCCGAGTTCGACTCCCCCACATTGGTACAACTGTGTGAAGCCAATTTCTGGTGTCCCCTGCCGCGATATTGCTGGAATATTGCTAAAAATGGCGTAAAACCATACTCACTCACCCATTTTGTTCAGCTTCAACAGAACAGCTTCCTCTATGCTGAAATAGCTAGGGGATACATAATGGATACCATGGAGGTGATTACAGGAGTTCAAATTCTGTAATCCCCATCCTGCCATTCAATTAATGGCACCATAGTGTGTATTACTGACAGCAGTTCAAAGAGAATAATACATGCCAGGTTTGTGAATGAGATTTCTATTTTGTTTACATCCATATTTATCATACTGACAGGGTATAAATATGTATGATGATAGTCAGCAAATATGTTCCAGGAGTGATAACATTGAGTGTAGTTTCAATATTGTATTTCGTGTAATGACACAGGATCAGAATTTTCTTTGATTGCCCAGATTTGTATCAGTTGGATAGAAATGTTTAATTGATTTTCTATGTTTATTACTTTTGTCTTTACTGGTTAGATTTCTCCCTGGAACCTTTACTAATAGTAAAGAGGTTTATTTAGACTTTGGACTCATTTTTTTCCCATCTACTTACAAGTACAGTTGTCTAAAGTTTAGTTTACAGAGTAGATTGTAATGCTGATGATTTTAATTTGAAGCCATAGTTTAAATCGGTGAAAATATTTTGACATTGGTTTTGAAGAACAATTTTCCACAAGCAGTCAACAATATTGCAAAGAAAATTTGTTAGGAAGGAAGGAAGGAAGGAATTAGTACATGATTCCCAGCCCTAATTTGAATAATGATTTCATGTGCATGAAACACAAGGAAAACACACCTAACATTCATCTAGTGATCAAACTTTCACCTAACCTCAAAGTAATTGAAAGTAAATTTATCAACATTAGTGGTTAAAGCATTTGCTTGTCACACTGAAAATATGGGTTCTCTGTTGCACATGGCTTCAAATTGTAAAGCCAATTCATGCTGTCCCCAGCCGTAATACTTCTGGAAAATTATTGTTAAAAGCAGCGTAAAACCACACCCACTCACTCTTCCTATGTTCAAATACTGCAAATTAGTCTTAAGAGTCAGTGATAAGTCTTGCAATTTAGTAAGCAGAAAATATATGTATAAAAAGCAAATTTCATTTTCATTTATCCTATAAGCAGAAAATTGTTTGTAATAAACGAAATTCCATCACACTTTGGAACTTCTAATCTGACATTTGAATGACAAAGTTTGTGATCAGACATTGGAGTTAATTGAATTGCGATCAATACGTTTGTATGGCACTCACATTAGCATCTGTTTCCAGGAGTACAATAGCATTGTATTGCTGCTTGGGAAGTTCTTCTCGTTAGTACAGGGCACATGGTCCCAAAATCAATACCAACTATTTTCATATGATTTTCCTATTGAAATTTCAGCCATATCAACATTGCGAATTCAAATTAATTTCAATTTTCAAATTCTATCGATTTGCGTTGGAATGTCAGAGCAAGATGAGTACTGAAATGTTATATTGGCTTCCAGTAAGGAATCATATCTGGCCTGGATGGCACGTCTCGGATTATTCTCAGTCTGATAATATCAGTCATTTGAAAATGTTAATTCCAAATTAAGCAAGGGATTATTTGTTCCGGAATTTGAATCCTTGTGCATGAGATGATATTCTGGATTCCTTTTCGAGAAGCTGTCTGTTGGCATTGTGTCCATGTTTGAAATAGTACATATGATTTCAATAGGGTTTTTGCTTCAAGCTTGAATTGATAAAAATATATTACGGGAAATAATACACACAAAACACTTTGCAATATGTTGCATACATTTTTTAAAAATACATTGCAGCTGAATGCATACTGGCAGGTGTTCATTTATTTTGCATATATTTGCATACAAAGTGAACTGTTTGGTGTGTTGTTGTGAAAGGTGTGTGATAACAATACTGAATATATATAATAAAGTACAGTGGGTCTAGTCATGTGAACATAACTGTACAGTAACTGACAATTCTACATAGGTATATATGAAGACTGACATTTGTATAGCTCTGACACCATGATTCTGTTTTTATTAATAATTTTATGTTTTCGGACCACTTCTAACTTCATAACTTGAATCAATATAGGTAGCTATTTTGTCCAAC